AACCAACTAATGGTCAAGCCAAATTGGCACTAGATCAAGAGACAACAGAATTGGGGGGCGGGTGGGCCTGGATTTAGGTATCTTGTGGGAATGTAGGAACTCCAAACTGATCTGCTTGAACCTGCCCTCGGGCTAAGTCTCATCATCTCCTAATCAGCGGTCGCCAACCAGTGGGCCTCGGCCCACTGGTGGTCCATAAAAAATTTTGGTGATCCACAGAGAAATGTCACCCCCAGAGCACCCCCCAAAAGCAATTAATCCAGGCTGCGCCGCCCACATGGCCTGCGGGAACCCTCCACGCCCACTTACTCCTTACCTGGCAAACTTGCCTGCTAAATTGCTATTTTTCCTTTTTCCAACCATCAGCTGTTCTGCTGTGCTGGGAGATTTAGATTAGCTAGAAAGCAGGAAATCGTTGGATTTCTTGCTTTCTAGCTAATCTTTAGATCTTCGGCTCTGCTTTTAAGCTTTTAAGCAGAGCCGAACCTTCCTTAGGACTGAAGCATCTATTTGTCAGTGCAGACTTAGGTAGCCGATGGCAGATCAATCAATCTCTGAATTAATCTGTGAGCAACTCAATCTGCCTGCCTGCTTTGGGGTAAAAGTTGCTCTTTTTTTATAAAAAAAAACCAATATTTACATAGATGGTGTGTTGTGAGTTAATTTTGTGAGTTTGCTTGCAAGCAAATTTTATGTGACAGGCTCAGGTAGCCAATCTCACAGATCTCTGAATGAATCTGTGATTCTGTGAGCAACTCAATCTGCCTGCCTGCTTTGCCTGATTTTGGGTAAAAGTTGCTCTTTTTTAATAAAAAATCCAATATTTATATAAATATTTATACTATTTACATCTAAGCCATGCCCAGCCAGTCACATGACCACCAAGCCACACCCACAAATTAGGCCACGCCCACAGAACTGGCTAAGAAATTTGAATCCCACCCCTGCCTCTGTGTGTTTGTGTGAGAGAGAGAGAGAGGAAGAGGGAGAGGTTAGATCAGATCTCTCTCTCTCTCTCTTCCACTGTCAGTCAAAATTCATATTAGTGGTCCCTGGGATTTAAAATTATGAGTTTGGTGGTCCCTGAGGTCCAAAAGCTTGGTGACCCCTGTCTTACATAGGTCCCCCTCCAACATGGCCTCTTTGAAGCTGCTCTCCTCCTCATGCAGTCTCTTTAAAGTCAAGAGTTTTCCTGGGATCTTGGCAAGGATGGGAGCGAAGCAGTCTCAAAGGAATCTTCCTTCCTCACTTATGAAGCAGCTGGTGAGCCAGGTGGCAGTTGGTGAAACACAGAAACAGTGTTAGACAGTCCCCTCCCCTGCCCAGGAGTTGAAGGCAAGAGGTAGAAGGCCCATGGTAAGCAGGTGCCCCACCTCCACCTGAAGTGATCCAGGGATGCTGGTTAACTCCTTCATTGGGTGGTGCAGAACGCAGGTCTGGAAGCTTGGGTGGTCGTAGTTTATCAAGGAAGCATAGGTGAAACTGGCAAACTAAATCCAGGGCGTGAATGTACTGTGAGTTTTCCCAGGAGTGATCAGCAACAGGGTAGCCTTTCCAATGAATCAAATACTAAATATTGTGCGTCTGCGTATAGAGCCCAAAATTTCCTCCACCTCGTATTTTTTTCTCCCTCCACAAAGACGGACGGACAGCTGGCATTGCAGAGTGCTGGAGGGGGGCATCCTTAAACAGCAAGTATTGATGAAAGACTGGATGCACTTTCATGGAGGGAGGCAATTGGAGATGGAAGGTGATGGGACTGATCTGTCACAGAACCTTGAATGGCCTCACAAATTTAGTGTCTACCTTCTTGGAAAGTTTTGAGAATGCTAAGAACTTGGTAGCAAGCTATACCTTGTCCTCTACTGCTATTGGTGCCCCCTCCCATCAGTGGGCATCCACAGCCTTTTCGTAAGACTGCTATGCTTGGTTGAGCTGCTGCTCCAATAGGGCTTGGGTAGTGAGCTGCTCCTGTAAGAGGTCAACAGCTCCTGGGATGGTGGAGTCTTTTTTTTTTTAAGCTGAGTTATCCAATTTATTTAAGCTATCTTTTAAAAAAAATATTTTTATTAACCATATTTCATCATTTTATATCACAATTACAATCTTTGCAGCGCTCCAGCATTGCTGATATTCATATATATACGTATCAGTTACATTCCTTTTACTTCCTTTAACTATATACATTGCCATTACGTTTAATATACCTCTTAAATTAACTTTATATTTAACCTTTACTTCTATTTTCTAACCATTTACACCATGTGTCCCAGACCAAGTAATATTCCGTTTCCCCTCTTTCTTTTAATTCCAATGTTAGTCTGTCCATCTCCGCACAATCTAACACCTTTTTTTATCACCATTCCGTCAGAGGGCGTGCTGTCTAGTTTCCAGTTTTGTGCATACACAATTCTGGCTGTGGTCGTTATGTGCAATATGATATATTGGATTTTCTTGCTATAGTTTCCTCTTATTATCCCTAGTAAAAGTAGTTAGGGTTTTAACTCAATTCGTTGACTCGTGATTTCTCTAGCCATTTTCTTACTTTGGTCCAATACTTCCTAGCTTCCAGACAAGACTACCACATATGAAAAAATGTGCCTTGATTGTGTTTGCATTTCCAACATTCTGCAGATCTATTTGGGAACATTTTCGCCAATCAAGCAGGGGGTAAATGCCAATGGTAAAACATTTTATACAAATTTTCTTTACAAGCTGCGGACATTGATAATTTGTAGTTTTTTCCCCATAGTTTTTCCTAATGTTCTAATTCAATATTATAGCCAAAGTTCTTTGCCCAGGCTATCATGGTTTATTTGACCGTTTCTTCTTCCATTTTAAATCTCAGGAAATAGTTATATACTTTTGTTATTATTTTTTCCTCCATCCCCTGTATTATTTTATCAAGTTCTTGTTGTTCCTTATAAAAGCTGTAGTTTTCTATATCCTTTTTATATCTTGTCCAAATCTGCAGATATGGCCACCAATCTGTATCTATTCCTTGTTGTTTTAACTCGTTTGTTTTTAACTTCCCTTGGGCATCTAATAGTTCTTTCTATCTTACCATTTTATCTAAGTCTAGTACATTTGTGTATATCATGGCCTCCATAGTTGATAACCAAACTGGTATTTTGATATAATGATTTTTCTTTATTTTCCCCCAAACCTGTAGGGCATCTCTCACTTGGTGTCTCTGAAAGTAGGTGTGTATTCTACTCTACTTTTCCTTTCCCAAATAAATCCATGCCACCCTAGGTGCAAATCATGGCCTTCTAATGTCAATATCCTTTTATTATTTAAATTTATCCAGTCCTTTATCCACGTCACAGCCACTGCTTGATAGTATAACTCCCAATCTGGGAGTCCAAAGCCGCCTTTACTTCTGCTATCTTGTAGTAATTTTAGTTTTATTTGAGGTTTCTTCCCTAGCCAAACAAATTTAGTTGTCACTTTATTTAACTCCTCGAAAAATTTATTACCTAATTTTACCGGTATTGTTTGAAATAAGTATAAAATTTTAGGTAATACATTCAGTTTAATTGTAGCAATTCTTCCAATTAGTGATAATTGCAGTTTCCCCCAAGCGTCCAAATCTTTATTTGTTGGAACAATTTATTGTAATTGTCTTCTTTTATTGAGGAGCATCTTGCCATCAACCAGATTCCAAGATATTTAACCTTTTTAGTTACCTGTATTTCAGTGGTGGGATTCAATTCTTTTACTACTGGTTCTGTGGGTGTGGCTTGGTGGGCATGGCAGGGGAAGGATACTGTAAAATCTCCACTCGGAAGTGGTATTTGCTGGTTCTACGAACTACTCAAAATTTCTGCTACCAGTTCTCCAGAACTGGTCAGAACCTGTTGATACCACCTCTGCTGTATTTCCAGTTTCCTCCCTAATTCCTTTTTCTGACTATCCGTGAAGTTTTTAGCTATTATCTTTGTCTTGTCCTTGTTTATTCTGAGTCCTGCCACCTTAACAAATTCTTCTATTTCTCGTATCAAATTGGTTCCTGTTTCTATGGGCTCCTCTATGAAGAATACTAGGTCATCCGTGAATACCTGTATTTTATATTCTTTTATTTTTATGCCTTTTATTCCTTGTTCTTGTCTAATACGTGCTAGTAATACCTCTAGAAAAAGAATAAAGTAAAGGTGACAGGGGACATCCCTGTCTTACGCCCTTGGCTATACTAAATTTCCCTGTTATTTCCCCATTTAGTATTACATTAGCCGCTTGGATAGAGTATATTGCAGATATTATCCCCACAAACTTTCCCCTGAAATTCATAGCTTTTAATTGCTGAATAAGAAACTGCCAATTTAAATTATCAAACATTTTTTGTGTGTCTAAGAATATCAATGCTGCTTGTTTCTCAGAATGGGCTTCGTAGAACTCCAGAACATTCATTACCGTTCTCGTATTATTTCTAATTTGCCTTTTTGGTAGGAATCAGTTTTGATCTGGGTGTATAATTTCATTTAATAATTTTTTAACTCTTTCTGCAATTATAGTAGCAAATATTTTATAGTCTGCATTTAAAAGCGAAATAGGCCTATAATTTTTAATCTGTTGGTGGTCTGTGCCATCTTTTAATATTAATGTAAGTATGCCTTGGACCAAGATTTCAGTAATTTAGCATCCGCCAGTGCTTCATTATATAATTCCAACATTAGCATCTCAAGTGGTTCTTGTATGGTTTTGAATAGTTCCCCTGGGAGTCCATCAGGTCCCGGTGTTTTATTATTTTTTTGTTTTCTGACTGCCTCTTTTAGTTCCGACAGAGTTATTTCATCATTCAACATTTCCCTTTTATCTTCCGGTATTATAGCTCGGCCCTTCTCCCTTAAATACTGCTTTATACTTTCTTCTGATATATCTTCTTGGCCCTCAAAGAATTTTTGTGTAATATTCTTTTTCTCTTCCAACCGATAATGTAAATTCCCATTCTCGTCTAGCAGTTGCTGTATAAATTTTTTCTGTTTCTCTTTTCTAAATTTATATGACAGCCATCTCCCTGGTTTATTTGCATGTTCAAAGACATTTTGTTTCACCATTTTAAGATTTTGTGCCCTTTCTTCTTGTGTCATTAGATTTATTTTATGTTTAACTAAAGCCCCTTTCTCCTTTGATTTTGTTGTTCTGAGGTTCTTTTTGTAGTATTAATTCCATTTTTTTAAGTTCTTCCTGAAGCAAAATTTATTGTTTCCCCTTTTCCTTGTTTCTTCGAACTACATATGCTATCATTAATCCTCGCACGTGTGCTTTAGTGGTATCCCATAAATTTTGCAGCGATGTTTGTTCTTTCTTATTTTCTTTAACAAATAATTCCAATTCTTTTCCGATCATTTGGACATAGTCTTTTTCTTTCAAAATCTTTTGGGTCAAGATCCATCTCCTTTTTTTCTGTCCTTTCCATCTCACTTTCAAAGGATTATGGTCCGCCCATGTATTTGTCATGATTTCTATCTTTTCTATGTTTCTTCCCATTTCCGGGTTGATCCCATGTCTATCCTCGACCATGAATTATGCAGACTTGGATAGAAGGTGTATTGATTCTTTTTTGGATTTAGGTTTATCCATATATCTTGCAGATTTAGTTCTTGTATCATCTCAAAGAATGTATTTGGTAGCATTTTACTTTTATTTTTTTTTATTACTTGTAGTCTTTCTTAATATCCACCACTGCATTGAAATCACCCACTAAAAATGTTTTCATATTCTGTCTCTATTATTTTCCCATGCAGTTTGCGATAAAATTCCTTCTGATTATTGTTTGGCACATATATTACCGCAAGCAACGTTTGTTTCTCATTTACTATTATTTCAATCATTAGTATTTTTCCATCCTCATCAGAACATATTTGCTTGGGTTTTAACCACTCTTTGATATATACCACTATTCTTCTCTTCTTTTGGTGAGCAAGGGATAAATGGACTTTCCCAATTTTTGGATATTCTAAGCTACTGCCCTGATGCCTCTTAATATGTACTTCCTGTAAACACACAATGTCTGTATTCTGTTTTTGTAAATTTACCAGTGTTTGTTTCCTTTTTGCAGGTCAATTCATTCTATTAATATTTATTGATATCAACTTAATCTCCTCCTCCATGTTATTGTTTATACATAGGTCTCTGTCTTCTATTAGTCCTTGTTTCTCTCTGTGCTCTTGTTCTCGCACCTTCTCTTTCATAACATTCTGTTTCCCCGCTTCTTCTTTTGTCTTGGTCGGTCTCTTTCCCTTCTATTTGCTGTTTTTCCTGGCTCTTACTCTCTATCTCTTCCCTACTGCCTTGGTCTTCATCCATCACTAAGTAGTGATCATAAAATTCCTGTGCATCATCAAAATTATCAATTTTAAATTTCTTATCCTGCCACAAAATCAACATTCCTTCTGGTATAAGCCATCTAAAGAGCACCTTATGTTTAACCAGTTGCAAAGACAGAAAACGATAATCTCGTCTTAGTTCCCTAACCCTTCTTGGGATTTGTTTTAAAGTTTGAATTTCTTTTCCTTTGTAGATCAGTGGCTCATCCTTAGTCATATTGTAGATTTCGTCTCTCATTGTTTTCCTCGAGAATCTCACATGGACTTCCCTTGGTAACTTGTGCCGTCTTGCATAGTTGGTGTGTATTTGATAGATCTCGTCCATCTCACCTTGGATCTCCTGCTTACTTCTGTAGGGTATCCGCTAGTAGTTCTGACATGATCTTTACTAGGTCGTCTTCCTTATTTTCAACCACATTTTGAAACCTCAAGTAAAAGGCTGCTTTTTCCATTTCGAGATGGACGATTACCTCTTCCAGATTTCTATTTACTGCCATCAGTTTCTGTTTCATTGTTTCTAATTTCTTTTCAGTTTGTTCTGTTTTAGTTTCCACCATCTGTATTTTTTGTTCATTCTTTTCTATTGCCTGTTGTAATAACTAAATAACCCTATTTTATCATCTAGTTTACGAATATCTACCTTCATCTCTCCCATCTCATTTTTATTTCGTCGTGATTTCTGGTTATAACCTCTTGCATTCTCATCAGTTTCCTGTATCGTAAGGAGAGTCATCTGCATGGTCTGCATACTCAGTATAGAGCCTGTTTTCTCACCACTCAGCATATCCTCTATTGAACATTGACCCGACGGGGATGCTATTGTCAATGATGGATTTGACATTTTCTTCCCTGTTTTTGTAGTGGTCGTTATACTTGTCATTTTCAGTACCCTGAAGATATTTTTCCACAATACCATCAATTGGCTACCCTTTACCCCTGCAATTTCCACTTACCCATTTATCATATACAAAGTTCTCCCAATTTATACACAGGTTATCATTCAATATCCAATATTATACTATAATGCTAATTCAATGTTACTATAGTCACACTTAAATTTATGATCATATATTCTTACAATATAATCTCTATTGTATATCTTCCTCTAAATAGGTTAATAGACAGTATCAATAATATCAATAATACTAAGATATAGTAAAAATAATATAAATAATATATAAATACATAAAGGTTACAATCTGATTCAAATATTTATAAATAGCTAAGGGTAAAGATAGATGTAGAATTAATTTTCTATTATTTTCAACTATTTAATCAAATGTAAGTTCATATATATTTATGCTCTATTTATAACTATATATATGTAGTGAATATTATGCTATACACTGGTCTTTCCTGTTAATTATTTGTAATATATATTGAATATAATATAAATGATAGTATATATACCATAAACAGAAATCTAAATCCAGTCACTCTATGCACACACACACACACACACACACACACACACACATGTATGGTATTCAGCTTTGTTCGGGTATTTTCCCACGTCATTTTTGTTGTGCTTTTAAAGTTGTAGCAACGTTTCAGCAGAATCTCTCTGACTCTCGGCCGAATCTCTCTGAATCTCTCTGTGAGTCTGACTTACAGACAAACACTATACAGAAGCCTGATGATGGCAGATGAGATTCTGCCAAAATGTTGCTACAACTTTAAAAGCACAAT